CAGGATGAACGAACGGGTTGTTATCTTATTCCCAGATGCTCGGAAAACGCTCGAGGACGAGCGTACGTCAGTATGGCCGTGTCGGCGAGCAGTGAACAAACAACTGACCGACGTCACTTCAACCCCACCACCGAGTGATATATAAAGCAGCGCAAGCGCAAGCTCGAGTCAGTCGTTCGTCGATCGTTGCCCAGTTCACACGTTACGCAATCGCTGAGTAATTTTATTGTTGGTTTTATTTGAGTGTTTCCTTTATATAATCAGTGCTGAATTATTCAATTATTATAAATAAAAATTAATGTGAAAGTAAGTTCATTTAATCGAAATAAACTAAGTGATTGTGTGAAGCCCTTTGTTTTATTTTCAAATAATGTCGGACCCTGATCCTACAAGTACATAATAGAATAGACATGGAAATAATATAAACTAATAAACACACTATGGACTATTTTCAGTTATGATACATTGGGCACCCAAAACAAGTCTTAAGTATATTCACTTAAGTAAATAACATCAATTGACAATCTATATTATATTGATCATGTAAATATACCATTTACTCCTAAAACTATTTAACCAAAGTACTCATAATAAGGCTTAGCACGTAAAAATTAAATTTGAAATAGAAAATGTCAGCAGATTTTTATATAACTATAAACTTAATCACTAGGGGACCAAAGGAGAGGAATGAAGCTATTGTGACACTCACTTACAAGCATATAACGTTGAGTTCATTTTATGTGTTGACAGTTCATGCTAAATAAATAGTTTGTAATTCATCGAAACTACTTAGATTTGAAAATCCATTTAGTCCCCTCTTTGATATTGTCACGAAAACTTTTAGTAAAACATTGTTCACTAGTTTTTCTTGATGTATTGCTTGACGATAGCCACGCTGTAGGTGCGGGGTCAGGCGAGATGTGAGAGGTCGTCCAGCTCGGGCGGCGGGGGCGCCGCGCCACCGCGCGCGAACACTGGCTTCGCCACCACCGACACCGGAGCCTACACAACGAAACACACTCAAATATACGTATACACACTACCACCAGCTACTGTTTTAAATCCTTAATGATTCATGCCCGAATCGTTACAAGCATGTTTTTGTATCACATATGGGATATATCTAAAATTATAGGAATACCAGCTGCCCGCGACTTCGTCCGCATAGAATATGATTTCTGTTTTATCCCATGGGCGCATTTAATCGCGATAAAAAGTATCCTATGACCTAAGTCACCTCTTTGATACCAAATTTGCCCTATCTGTATACCAAATTTCATGAAAATCGATCATAGATTCAGTTTCAGCGTGATTGACGGACAAAAAGAGAAACTTTTACATTTATAATGTGATTCACATACGGTCCAGGTGTCTCAAAGTGTGGGGCTGTGGGTATTTTAAAATGTCTTTAAAACGTCTACGTCTTCAAACTAACAACAAACAATACTTCAAGACAACTCTAATAATTTCTATTCCATATTCAACTGTTGTAGCAGTTGACTATAGTCCATAAAATATAGGATGATCTCTGTGATATGCCAAACTGATATACCTTAATTATCCTACGGTTGCCAAGATATAAAAAATGTCGAGATTCTTATTTCATCAATGCTTAAGCAACAATAATCGGGTTTATTTCGAACATAGAGCCAAAAGTGGCGTGGTTTTAACCGAAATCCAAAGTAATGATGAGGAATGTTGGATTTTAGTTACCCACTATTATTTCGGATCATGTACGCACTCATGAACGTGATATTATCATATTCAAATCTATACTCTAAATAAATATATGTATAACGCTGAAGAGTTCATTTATTTATTTGTTTGTTTGAACGGAAAATGAAGCGTGGTTGTCCTCAGCAAACCGCGTCGTACAGTGATAATAGCAGGAGCGGCGAGCCTGACGTGGAGCGAGGTGAAGCGAGAAGCTCAAGACTGATCAAGATGGCGGACCTCTGTGGACGTCCTCTGCCCCATGTAAGGAACGTAGGACTTTAAGTCAAATTTGTTTAATATTCGAAACTATTGTTCAAATTGAAAAACATTTGGCTACGATCAATCAAGTAGCTTGTAACGCGGAGTAACAATAAAATTAAATGTTACATAAATTTTTTACATAAAATATCGTACGCAGGATAATTCAAATCCCATCACTTCATAGAGTATGGCATTGACAGGTACTGAATGTTAACTGTGTCAGTTTAAGAAATTCAGAACTTCATATATTTTATGGACTATAGTACAATATACTACGTTGGATTGGGTTTAGAACCGTATTTCACGGCAAGGCTGAAAACAAGATTTACAAGTCAACAAATTTTATCAATGAAAATAGTAGTAGAACCTATTAGATCAGTACGATCTAATAGGTACACAAGGTAAAGGTACTCGCTTCAAAGGTCACGAATCCTGTAAATGAAGTGGAACATATACGTATTTTTTGTTATGGAATAAGCCGGAAAACGAGCAGACGGATCACCTGATGGTAAACAATCGGCGTCGCCCATGGTCACCCGGAACACCGGATTACAAGTGCGTTACCGGCTTGTTGGGGATTACGAATTTGAGGATTGTTGGGGATTCAGAGATTGGAGAAGGGGTACTTTTCATAAAAAATACTTGTAAGGTAACAGCAGTTCACAAAATACAGGCATTTGTTAAATCATAAAGCAGATCCAATAATATAGCATAAATAAATAGATATTGTTCAGTACATGCTTTTGTTGCAGTCATTCTCCTACGATTGTTTTTGTGAACCTGGAAATCTATTTACAATTGTAAATGTTAGTTATCAGTTTTTTTAAAGAAATAAATTTCCGTTTACGATTTGAAGAACACTTGTGTTGTATTGTACCTAGTTACTCTAAAACTTAAAGCAGATATCTTCTCGTATTACAATTTACAATAGATACAACTATAAATGTTAGAACAACAAAGTAATTTTAACGTAGTGTAAAAAACTAAACAATAAACATAAATATAATAATTTGGTAATCGTAGATGACGTGGAGAAGTATTGGAGATTGTAGAGGTACCTGGCTGACGTGCGCGGCGGTGAGTGCGGAGGGTTGCGCGGGTGCGGCGGCGGGCGCGAGGTGGTGCGGCGGCTGCACGCCGACCACCACGACCTTCTGCGGGCCGCCCGCCGCGCCGCCCGCCGCGCCGCCCGCCGGCCCGCTCGTCACCACCACCGACTACGCAGACACATGCACTACGTCACTACACCCACACGACCACTCACCGCTACTGCCTACCACGACAACCACCACACGCTAACTAATACTGCCACTTTTTGCAAGTTATGTGAATGTCTTGGGACACAAACCACAAGTTAAATCTTCCTTTAGGTACCAGGCTCTTGTATTGGTCTTACACGTCATACAATATTATTTTATTTATCTTTGATGGTGCACATTATTTGCTATGTACTTTTGTGTGTTTTTTATCGAAGTAAACTATTTTTATTTAACTGTTCTGATTTTATAGATTACGGATCTTCATGATATTTTACATTATATATATTTTTTTGTTATACTTACACAATCAGTTTTTATACATACTTATTTATATATTGTGGACAGTTGACAAGAGAAACAGAGATGATTTGATCACTGCTGCAGTATTTACAAGTCCAGAGGTATTTTCAGTTGTTCCATAGACATACTTGGTTACTTCATTAACCCTTTGCTGTCTTTCTTAGATGTATAAGATCTTCGACATATAAATCTTTTGCGTTAGTTTACAGATTATGACAGCATTTATCATATAAACTTGCGGACAAATACATAAACATAATTCGACTTCACAACTCCTAAAACCTGTTCTTGCTAGGACTTGACATAACACATGCAGTTCTCTTTGTTCATTCATGCAAACATATGCAAGGGTCTCACTCTTCACAAAATCACAAATACAAGTGTTGAGAACTAACTAAATGTTCAAATGAGAAACATTACCAATGTATACCATACCTGAACATTCTGGCTGCGGACGATGGCAGGCTGCGAGCTATGTACGACAATATGGCCGCCGCTAGCTGGCTGAGTCTGGTAAATAAATATATTTTTGTGATTGATACATTCTTGTTTTAATTGTCGTTATCACGGCATCTGTTTTAGTTACCGTTGTGTTTTGTAGTGTATGTTGATTGCAAGATGGTATAAATCAAATCACTTATTCTAATTAACCACACACTATGGTGCCACTGCGTCTGTCGGTTGTCATGCACGCTGCTTATGGTTGTGAGTCCTCATTGTGACTTGAAACTAGTCGACCAACCTCACAATTCGTACATTCTAATATTATAGACATTTTTGTTTGTTATGTATGTTAGGTGTTTAAATGAAAAATGCTAGGTAATATAAAAGATAAAGAATAAAAACTCCATGACATCATTTTTAATGTGTTTAAAAGAAATTTGGACGGACACGGTCTTGGCTCATTGAACAAATTGCATAGTACTTACACTGACCACCTGTGGCGCTTTTTGCTGGGACACAATGACAAACTTCTGTGGAGGCGGCGTAGAGGGCGCGGGCGACTGCGGCGCCGGTGCAGCACTGATCACTACGCTACGAGTCGCTATCGTCTCTGATAATCACATACATTCGTATTCGTACAATAATAAAACCAAAGTACACAAAGGCCTTAAGAATGTAAACCAAGACAGAGACTTTATCCTGATATAATGTCTCACGATAGCTATTTTACAAAGATAAATGGAAGTGTTATTTAAGAATTGCACTCACCGACAGTCTTGGCGCCGTGTGAGATGTGCGAGTGCGAGGGCGAGGGCGCGGCGGGCACCAGCGGCGGCGTGCACGTCACCACGGCCACCGCGCCGCCGCCGCCGCCGCCGGACGGGGACGAACGGATCTTGCCCACTGCCTGCTGCAGGCTCGGGCCCAAATATCCGTAGTCACGTCTGACAAGTAGCACACATTATTGTTAAATACGTACACAGCACTCCGCCTAATCATTGCCGTAACTCTCCTGTTTTATATCAGAATAAGACAGAATGAAAATGTGGACTATCTCCTTGGATTGAATTAGCGCCATCTAGTGAGTACAATAATGATAACTGCAATAATATACTTGTATTCTTCCGGCAAGTCCGGGGGCTGGCGCAGCTGGCGCACGACGGGCGCCAGTACCTTTAGCAGCTGATGCTTGAGGTTGCCGGCCGCCAGCCTGTCGGCGCCGCCCAGCCCGCTCAGTGCGCCCTCCACGCGCTCTCCCAGCCATCGCACCCGAGGCAAAATGAACACCTACCGACAAAATAAGTCATACAACTAGGGTTCATGATTACTCGAGCTTATTAATTTCGGTTTCAATAATGAGATTGATGTATAAAATCAGAAGCTTTAATAAAATATAACTATAAAACTTTTTATTAATGTGGTGTAACCAAATACCAGGTTGTATATACATGCACAACACTTACTTTGATAACTTCTGGACCAAGTTCGGCTAAGCCTTGAACGGCTCCGTACAGAGACGCTAGAGGAGTTTTTTCAGATTCCTTCATAGAGGTAACCATTGACGGGCCTACGCCAGTTTCGTTGTTAGTCTGCGACGGACACTGAAGGGCTTTAGCAAATAATCTGAAGACAAAATATAAATAGATATTATAAATCAGGAAAATTCAAGCTTTTTTTTGCTTTCTGTCCACCTTCCTTGGATTTAAAGAATAATTATGGAAAAGGGTTACACATATTAGTTACTAATATGTACATATTTACTATTCAGTGTTTTATACCTGGTGACCCTTGTCTGTAAGTTGTTAGTGGACGTATTGAATGTTTTGCAAATCTGCGCCATGAGCCTGGCAGCGAAGTCACGGAGAGCCCAGTGGTTGTCCATTTCCGGACGCAGGCAGAGCTGCCGCGACACGATGCATGTCGATACCGACGGGATCAGTTCGTGTAACTATTCATAAACAGTTTATTTGATTACAAAAAGAAGAAAAACGAAACTTAAAATTAATATCAGACTAGTAAAATATGTAATGTTCAATAACAGAAACACTAATGAAGAAGTACAACTTGATATATAATAATAATTAATACTTAAGATAATCGGGACTATACTCACATACTTCTCTAGATACAGAGATTGGTTGTCAAGCAAAGCTTTGACCATGCGCATCAGGTATATAAGCAGAGCGAGATTATTTTGCACCACATTCACTTTGACGCCTTCAGATATAAATGTGCACATTCTCGGTAACATCTCATGAAGGCCAGGATCACAAGCCAGTGACTGCAAAGCTTCCTGTAATCAAACATTATATAAAATTCTAATGAAGTCTATTTAATATTAATTTTAAGTGCAGAATATGTACATACATTGATTTTATTATTTGTGTTTTTTCTTTAAAACTGATAATAAATAAAATTAAGGCAAGATAAATGATAAGTACCGCACGGCGTCCTTCATCGCTCCCAACGCAAGCTTCAGTGATTTCTTTGTAGTACAACTGTTGCTCCACACTCAGCTCGTGTGTGGCTAGCTGCTTCACGTGGACCGACTCTGAGGCTTTCAATCGTGCTGCTTTACCACACATAGGTTTACCTGAAATATTACAAAAATATAGAACACTTCATACAACACCATTCAAGTATAATGACGGAATCTTTGATAGTAAATTACGGCTGAAATTAGTAAATGATCTCAGTGCAAAACCTGTGGATTAAGATGGATTTCTGATTAAGCAAAATTACACCCAAAAAGATAAAAAAAAAAACAATTATCAATTTTGGCCATAACAGAGTAAAAAGTAACATGCACTAAATGCATAAAAAAGATTTAGCTAAAGTTTGTTATTTTTTAAGATATATAATTTAATATCACAATAAAAATAATTGCGCAAGTCTCCAAACCTATCTGGAGTATTCTATTTTGATATTAATAGAAAGCTATTGAGGTATAACAGATTAAATACATGGCTTACACCCGAATACTGGAAGACTACTCACTATCATTTTACAAAGAATTTGTAGTGACAGAACTATCCTAAAGTGCGAGTTAAAATTGAGTAGCCTTTGAGTATTTCGACATGAGAATCACTATTAAGTAAAAGTAGTTCTAATGAGCAGCTCCTTGAGAGATGGTCTGGTCAGGTTGTAAGTAAGATGGTAAAAAATACAAAGAAATAAAAATGTATTACAAAAAAAAGCAGAACAAAAATCATATTTAATCATTAAGTTCATTTTTCCAATTTTTCAATTTCTCTTTATTATAATTGAGTATTTAATTTACCATTTTTATAGTGATTCAGTATTCCAATCATTTATGTAATAAAACTAGCAAACTCTAAGTATGTATATGTAGTAACTGAATGTAACACCCACTTTCTACTGTTGATGTTTTCATTAAATCTTTAAGAAGATCATCACAAAGATTTACACTGGCTGGTATGAGCAAGAGCAAGAGCAATAAGCTGAACAATTACTGACATTCTTAATTTGAATAATTTTCAATACACTAAGTATGTCTTGCATATCCCACTCAGTGTGCATGCACTTCACATACATAAACTTACATCATTTATATGTATCATGTATAGACATGTGAAATAAAAAAATGTCAAAATAAATTTTGCTTTTAGTCAGCAAAATCATTATACTTTTATTAGAACAATTATATCTTTTACCTGCCGCATCCTTATTAGTAGGTTTGCTCAATTTGCTGATAGGGTCAACTGATTCCAATTTTTGTGCTTCTTTGGATAATGGAGGTGGGTTTTCTGGCACTGTAGGTTGAACACCATCTACACTCAACCAATGAGCACGTACAGATACATCCAGAGGTATTTTTGGTGGAGGAGCTGACAATATATCTGATAAATCTACTTCTTTCTCCTCCACAAAATGCAATTCCCTTCCTCCACCTGATGCGAATCTAAATGGTAATGAATCTGGCTGAATAAATCCATATTGGCACTGCAATAAAAATAGTATAATTGGTGTCAGCAGTGGTACCAACACATTATTATATTATTAAAAACATATGGAATTTGCACATCATAGTAAAAAATCTTGGCAATGAAAAAATTATCTTAATGTTTTAACTTGTTGAGTACCGTCATTATAGACACAATTAAAGAATAAAAGGTTGCGGTCACCAGTGACTGCTCGGTGTTTGACAGTTTAAAGTACACAATAAAATACACCCAGCATTCATATGATATGACTAATATAAGATATCAATACCTTAAACTGTCAAATACCAAGCGGTCACCGGTGACCGCAACCTATTGTTCTATAATTGTATCTGCAAAACCGGTACTCGACGAGTTAATTCAATATAAATAAACACTTATCATACCTCAATATTTTTGATCTTCAAAGCATTGTCTATATCAGTTATGGACAATTTTTGTCTCTTGGAATGATGCATAAACTTCATACTATCCTGTACAATAAGTTTTAACCGGTATGTAACATCGTCTGCCAGTTCTTTAGCAGCGTCATCACCCAAATTTGCTATTCCTATACTCTCAGCAATCGTTTTCATAGAATCCACCGACATAGAAGAACCATAGGCAAACTCTGAATCACCCATACTTTCAGGATATTATAAACGTACTGCTGAAACAATTCTAATTGTTTTCTGTGTCTAGAGAGTTCATTTGGATTATTTTTAAATCATCACCTTTATGATCAAAAGTTGTAGAAACCTATTCCGTAGTTGCATAGATCTGATATTATCCATAAAGCTATTTATCGATCGTGCTATTTGATACAAAAATAGAGAAATGCTGATATTGATAGTCTAATTAAATCGTCTAGCACCGAGCCTCCACTGAATATTTATTACAAATAAAGAAATTAATTACAAATCCCGAAATACAGTAAACACTTCACATGTATACAGACACAGAAGCACAGAAGACATGACATGAAGTCATGAACAGACATGACATTAAATATATTTGATAGATTGACGTTGATGACAACGTGACATCTAATTGTTTTTTAAACCTGACTACAGGTATTTTTAGTCACCTATATATACCTTTATGTTATATTTATAAATCTATGCCTATAGATTTGAATGGGCAGCACCGGTAGTGGAGGCAGACGCCTCCACTGCCTCCTCTGGAATCAGTCTAGAACGAACAGAAAAATAGTCAGTCACATCACACGGTCACGCCACAGAAAAAAGAAACAATCAGGTGGCAATACCATATTGCTACAATAGAGATGGCCAAATTATAATATTTATCCGAAAACAGCGACTATATAAATATATTTCATATTTTAAGTTATAGCACAACACAATATTAATAGCCACTGTATATTGTATCAGAAATTGTTTGTACACACATACTCGTCATACTCATGGAATAAAAAAAACTAGTGTTCCTTTTATTCTATACCTCATTGTCTCATTTACTTGTATTCCGTAACACATTCATTCACATCTTCCATTCTACCACTGATAATGAATTTATAATTGCATAATCTATGCAATCTACTACAAAACCATTACAACACATAGATTTATAAATATAACATAGATGTCTGGCTATTGTCTACGGGTAGAATTTAGGTCCATCTTGACGGTAAATTCATAAACATACTGTTGTTTCTTTTTTACTTATGTCTCTTTGTTTATGCAGAAAGAGACAACACATTATTGTCATTCTGGCCATAATTTTTTGACGTCATCAGAAAAACCTAGTTGTGCCAAATTGGCCATCTTAGTCCCTGTTATCAGTGCATGTCAGTGGTACATCAGCTGTCAAAGCATTGGTCAACAATATTTTTTTACGAAAATTTGTAGAATTCCTGTTGTTTTTGTGCGTGGTAAACAAAGAAATTATTGGTTAGTGAGAAGAACTATGCCCGGGTGCAGTGTTATTGGATGTAGCACTAAAAATATTAGTAAACCGGCAGGTGTAACATTACATCGGTAAGTACTGTTATTTTTCATTAAAATATCTCTGTTTTTCAAACTATTCAAGTGTGGTTGCTGCAAATTGACTAAATACAATACTTTTCTAACTAATGCAGTGCTTATTTTCATTAATTTTAGTTGAAATACGTCTAAAACAATTTTCATTAAAAAATAGTGATGTACATGATTGTTCCCGTATCGATAATTTTATCGTACATAATAAATGCGTCAAAAGTAGAACAAAGAACTATACTAAATTCTGAATGATAAAGTGCATTAATTTGACATAATGACAAAATACAAAAAACATTAAGTAGGTACAGTATCTATAGAATCTATAGAAAAATCTATGTTCAATTGGATCAAGTAAGTTAAATTATACTATTTATGTTGCAGCCTCTAGCCAGATATGTGCATGAAAATGAACTTGGAACCAGTTCTGGAGTCTTCTCGAAAGATGGTTTTGCAGATTACATTACAGGGAAACAGAATGAAATATAACTTTAGGGTATTTTTAGAGTATTTATTAGAATGTGTCGAACTCTGCCGATAATTTTAATAATATTATAAATTTTCTTTTTAGTTTGTGCTTGAACCACGCAGAAGTTCTTGGCTGGAAATAATTAATGTGGGAAATATAGATACTAGAAGGAAACATATCTTTGTTTGTTAACTTTATTTTGAAGATTAATGTTTTAACCGAACAATAAATTAATAGTAAATCTACGTGATGGGGCCCTATCGCTACAAGCTCTATTGGTAAATCATAATGTAAACGATTCATTATGTGTTTTGTTATATTAGTTTTGGAAGCATTTTTTGAAGAGGTGCAAACTTAACATTTTATTTAACATTTATATTAAGTTCATAACTAACCGGGTTCTTGTACCTATATGTTTCTGTTTTCCTCCGCTATCTATCACTATCATTGTAATGTACAAACATTTTCGTTCAGAGCTTAGTACAGTACCTATAGAATCTATAGAAAAATCTATGTTCAATTGGATCAAGTAAGTTAAATTATACTATTTATGTTGCAGCCTCTAGCCAGATATGTGCATGAAAATGAACTTGGAACCAGTTCTGGAGTCTTCTCGAAAGATGGTTTTGCAGATTACATTACAGGGAAACACTACGAAAAATACGAAGATATTGTATATTATAAATCTTGATTTTATGAATACTTTGATACAGTTTTATTTTTCAACCCTCAAAAATTACTTAACCTTAAGTATATAAATATTGACCAGTTGATGGAAAATCCTTTTCATGAATTTCGATACATAAGTATCGTGAAAGTTATGATGTGAATGTATAGGCACGATCGACTGGAGTGACAGTGCACGCAGCAACTACTAAATATATTTCGCTAATATGTTGGTAATGTTTAGCAGCTAGATAAAAATTAAATCCAGATGAATCATAAAATAATGATATTTTTTGATAAGTCAATTAAAACCAATTCTAAAATATCGATATTTCTACAGTTTTAAAAGTTACATCCCTAGTTCTATCCGCCATTACAGGTGACCAAGTGAAGTTTATGTAGGCACGATTTTTTCCTAGTTGTTTCTTATCCATACTCTTATCATATCAGTGTTACAACACCAAAGTTCGATCGTTTTTTTAAATTTCTGAAGGTGCTATCAATTTAGCCAACACAACAAACTCTTGAAAAGAAATTCTTGCCAGCTGTCTTTCCTATTAAAATAGGAAATTAAAGTTAAGAGTACATTTTATTCCGCTCTTTTATTTAACCTGGGTTTTGTTTCTGGATGTTCTTAGTGGATGTGTGAAAATTCTCTTTTATACAAACGGGTACGTGTAATAATGAACACGATATAAAAAGAATTATCCAATTTGGTCCAGTAGGTCTTGGATTATGAGCTTATTTAGATTTCGTTATTCAAATTTATTTCTAAAGATGTAAAATTAAAACTTATTGGTAATCAACTAACTTGCAAGAAACTGTTTCTACGTGTACAGTCATAAATTCTTTAACCAATCCAACATTTCGTTAAAATATTTGTAGGAAAAAATATTTTGTTAGTGGCAACACTGAATATGAAAATGACGAACACCGAATGCCGATCTATTTGCCCCACGCGATTTTTTCTTGTGTAAGGTGGTTCGAGGTTTGTAAGATTAATAACTTTGGTGAATAGTTTGAAAATGTATAGAAATAAAAAAGACGTTGATAAACATGTGGAGAATTTGTTATCTAAATTGTCCGCGAAAGAGGTAAGTCAAACAAGATCATCGCTAAAAAATTCAAGGATCATTCTAAGTGCAGGTGATTTACTAACAGTATTTGATTATTTGCAGTTTAAATCAAGAGCTTATTCCGTTGCTCGACTTTATTTCGAAGTGGGGGATTATTTAAGTTGTCAGAAATATGTCGAGCAATACCTTACTCAAAAAGACAATAACGCTGCGGCGTACAAACTTCTTGGACAAGCTTTGCAGAAAATGGGTATGAAAGAAAAGGCCCTAGAACAGTACAAGGCGTCTTTGGACATTGACCCGGCACAAACTAGTACCATATTAGACAGTAAGTACCCATGTAATAAACATTTTTATTGTAATATGTGTGAAAGATATTTCACATTTTTGTTTGGTTATAAGAAGTTATCAGAAAAATTCCCCTAAAATTACTCATATCAGCATTAATTTTTGGTGAAAAATCATAATCATTTAAATTTATTTGATTAATTTCTTGTATAGAATACACCTAATACATCCAGTCGATTTCATGTAGGAAGGGTTATGTTTAGCTTGTATAAACAAAGTAAAGCCAGCAATATGTCTCATTGGATAAACATAGTTTTGATAGTTATAACACCATTTTATATTTCACCCCAAATAACCACAGTCGTTACAATCTTTAACCACATTGGTTGATACATGATTCAAATGAAATTTTGGTGTAAATTGACAAAATTGTATGAAGCTGGTATGGTACATAATGGTAGAAGGCAAAAGATAAAGTAAATTTAACATTTTTCTTCTGATATGTCATTTATCAGGTGAAAAATGTTAAATTTAAACATATACCCTTGCTGTAATGAAAGCCAACCTATTGCCATATAGCACTCTTATACTTATACCCATGAGACAGAGAATATTCAAAAACCAATATTGTTTTTGCCTGAACTGGGAATCAAATCTGAGCCAGTTATTAGGAAATTATGCTTTAAAAAACAAGACAGTATTATACATACTGCTTTTATACATAAGTACTGCCTTCTATATGGATTTATTTTGTTTTAGTTTGTGAACTTCTTGCTGATGATGAAGTCATTATTGAACCAGGCCGAGCCAAGTACTGGTGTGAAAAAGCAGAAGCCACATTTCCCAGGCACCCAGTTACATTCAGACTAAGAGAGAAACTTATATCTGTTTCTAACCCAGATCCTGAAGCACTAGTTGAGTTACTTCATTCTGAATTAGCAATAAGGCCCAAGGATGCATTGCTACATGCACGCTTATTGAAGCACTATCTGAACATCAATAAGGTTAAAGAAGCATTTGAACATGCGTGCAATGTGGAGTTTGGCGGAAAACCATTTATAAACACCTATGGTTGGTATGAAATTTTGAATGATTTACTGAAGCACAACTCGCACAATAGCAGTGACTGGCTTTATCACTTACTTCTCTTAACTGTAAAGGAACGTATTTGTTTGTTGAGTATTACTGAAACACCAAGTGGTACATCCAAAAGCTTGGTTGAATCTAATGAGCTTCTTCATTCTTATGATCAGGCTATTGAGAGTGTTTCACGTTCTGGGGCCTCTCCAGGCTTTGCAGAATTCCATAATGCATTGCTACAACATCATAAAGGCCAAATTGCCTTTCATGCAGCAACATTTTTGCTAAAGAAAGCTAAAAAAGACCAAATGAGCTGGCGAGATGCTGTCAAGCATGCTTCCCCACTTATGTTAGTTGCTTGGCAAGCCGTACCTTTGGATTCGAAAGTAAACTGGTTGAGAAATGCCCCTGAGAAACAAATGATCGCAGTACATCGCTGGT